TATGATGAAAAAATAAATCTGATTTTCACTGAGCACATTTTTATATTTGTATGACTGAATCCTCACAGCAATACTTTAAGGTCCTTGTTATTAACCCCATTTTTCAGATGAAGGACATGAGGCTCAGAGAGGTGAGCTAATTTCCTCCAGAGCTCCCCACTACAGAATGGGAGGATTTCAATCCAGGCCAGTTCACACAGTTTCCTAATGAGTAAGAGCAACATGTTGGGAACAAATGTACATGCTCCCGGGAAGAGAACACTCATTTTGGGCATTTCAGTAGGTCTTATTTATCTCTCTCAACTTCATACTCACATCTCATAAGGGCAGCTTCCCTGGAAGGCCAGAGGCTTGCTGCAAATACAAAACATAGCCAGGCCACTGGGGCCAGTTCTGTTTTCCTGCTGCTCAGCTGGGAATGAACCTCCTTTCAATGGCCAAGGCCCTGGGTCAGGTGATAGTTGCTCCAGACAGTATTTCCAGTGTCCCAGGGAAAACTGCTGCCATCTCCATGGGGATTTGATGCTTTCCAGAGCTATGTGGCCTGCATTGTCTCAGGACAAGGAACTATTGTTTGGTAGAAACAGAGGGTGTTTCTCACTGGGGATTTGGACTTGAATAAGGATTCACATTTCAACAATGTCTTCTTTTGTAAAAATGCAAGATTTTTTTTCAGGCTTACATGATTTTTTTTCATACTCAGATCACAGCTCTTAACAACTGTTTCTCCTTCAATGTTTCTTAAGAATGTTAGAATTGTGTATCCTGCATGTTATGCACTCAAAAAATAAACACCTCATTGCATATAAAGGCTGCATGCTCTCCTGAGTAGATTCTAGGATTGCCATGGCAGGAAGGCATGGCAGGGGGCAGGAAGAGATGGGTGCATGACTGGGAACTGACAATTATGAAGCATGGCATCTAATGCAGTAGACACTTTAAATATGTTATGCCAATTAATTCTCACAATCATCCTAGCAGATATTATGCAAGTTTTCCAAATGAGGAATGAGATTAGGTAACTAGGGCAAAATTATACAGCTGGTCCCAGATCTCACTCTAAACCTGTTCTCTTTCCATTTCCTGTTCCATGTTCCCTTGCTGACCTTTTTAAACTTCAATTTTCTCAGAAGAGCCACTTGGTGGGAAGTGTGTGTGAGATGGTGGCTGTAAATGCCTGTACCACAGAAAATGTCACATTAATAGGTACTCAGTAAAAAACATTCTCCTCTCTTCCTTCTGCATTATCATAGCTTGCCTTTTTAATGTCTTTCTTTTTTCTTCTGTCTCCAGTTCTTTCAACTCTTGCTTTTCTTTTTATTCTTGTACCTTTTCACTACAGAACAACAAAATCTAAAGATCTTATTACAATGGCAACATAAAGTTAAAACACAATCCCCTAAGAATAAACTAACAAGAACAATGCAAGGCCCACATGAAGAAAACCATAACATTTTATTGAAGATGTAAAAGATCAGAATAGATGGAAAGTTATACATGTTTCTGGATGAGAGACTCAATGTTCTAAAGATGTCAACTTTCTGAATTAATCCATAATTAATCCTGGAGAGGATATTGCACTTTGCATCAAACATTATTTTTCCTGGAAAAGTTTATTTAGAAAGTTAAAAAGAAAACTACCATCATTCATAACAAAATCATTATTCTCCTACAGTATTTCATTATAGGCATATACATATGTATTTATCCTAATTATCTTGCACTATTTTTGCATTTTTCAAAATACTTCTCTTTCAGTTAGTCTTCACCTTCTAATTATTTCACACAGTTTTCATACTTTTCCAGACTAATATACTTATTAGCCTAAGGTTCACACAATCGCTAGCCAGAACTAAGATTGTAAGTGATCAGAAAAATACAAAAGCAGGAGGAATGGTTCTGCATATACAGAGGAACAACCAAAGCGCTTGAACGTGGATGAACTTGAATCTGAAAATCAAGAGACCTCAATGCTGCTGGTCTGTGCCAGTCATTTGATGCGACCTTCAATGTATGTGGCTTCTGAGATACTTTACAGATAGGTGAGTTTCCTTACATATAAATTAAGTGGGTTGGGTAACAAAATTTGACAACTTCCTTCCATGGATAAGATTCAAAGACTTCCACTGATGGTTGGGAGTATAGAACCATCAGCAGACAGAACTTAGAAATAGAAACAATAAGAGCAACAGTGTTAATAGCTGCCACATCATGAGCATGGCTGTGTGCTGAGAACTAGGCTATATGCTTTATATATATTACCTTGTTTGATTCTTATTACAGCTATTTGAGGTAAAGATGATTTCCTCCATTCTTTGGAAGAAAAATGGAAGCTCAGAGAGAGAGAGTAAATAACTTACCCTAAGGCATACAACAAAGCACAGAGTTTGGATTTGAATTCAGGTCTAATTCTGAAATTTGTGCTCTAAGCTGAGCTAACTATACCATCAGTACATGTCATTTTAAGGCAATGACCTTATACCATCACTGCTGCTGGAGGCAGAGAAGGAGGAGACGTGGGTGGCAGTATGAGGCCTTTAAGAGTCTCTTGTTTCAGAAACTGAATATAACTAAACGCTTCTTCCATTCTCTAGAATTTCCTGTTGTGGACGGGGCAATCAGGCTGGATAGTTGTAGCTGTGAGGGCATCCAGAAAAATTCCACTAAGATTTGAAATGGATTTGAGAGGCTGAACACAGATGAATCTCCCAGTTAAACCTTAGAAAAAACACTTCCAGGTCAGGTTCCCTGGGTAGCCCAGATGCCTGTGACTCACTTATGGTATGATTAAGTGATAGGCTATGTTTCCAGAGCTAATAATTCAAAAGCTTTCTGTGGTATTAAACTGAGACATGAGACATATGAAAAAGAAAAGACATTGAAGCAATCAAAGCACTGAGAAATTAAGATTCAATTTTTGCCTTTACTAAACACTGTGTCAAGGAAATCAGAACAAATTTTTTAAAGCCATAAGTATGATACCCAGAGAATTAAAAAGCAATCAATTACAAAATGTACATATGTTTCCCAGAATGTTTAGGATATATAGGGTTAAGCCATTTTTCATTTGTCTTATTACATTGCATTTATTTAGGCATGTACCTAGGAACACTCTCTTGAGTAATATTCCTCATTCATTTTTGACAGATGAATGGGTATGTGACTCTTTGAATGCCAGAAAAACCCTTATAAGCATCAGAGAATAAAAGTCGCACTGAATTATTTATACAAGTACTTCCACCAGATTGTAGCTGGCAGTCTGCTCTTATTTGGGTGTTGGTATGTAAGATGTTTGAAAATCCCTGAAGTCACCTTTTAATCAGGGGCATCTTAAGGTTTGTGAGGGCACCATAATACTCGGCCCCTAAGAACCTACCCGGTGACAGAGAAGAAAGGATTAGAAATAGTGATGTTTCCATCCAAGCTACCTTTGGTTTCTTCAATTAGCGTTTGCATTTGGCTCAGATCACATTCAACACCTTTAGAATATGATGCAAAGCATCTCACCTTTCAGTCAAACAGCCTCTCTTCATTACCCATTCACGTCTTTAGCTTTTCTTAGTATGGCCCAGCTTCTCTAATTTATCACTTTCTCCTGCTTGACAACTTTGCATCTTCATTACCTTTATCTGAAACACTCCCTTTTCCAGCTGGTTTATTATTTAGGTTTTAGCTTAGTATCACCCCTTTGGAAAGGTGCTCCTTACTACCCTATTAAGGGTGGGCCCCTACCCTTCTCCATTTGGTTCCTTTACTTTAAAAAATCATATAATAGTATTTATTTCTTTTAAAGCAATCATATTTGTAATTGTATATGTAAAAAAAATTTTCATTTATTATTTCTGACTTTTCCAGCAGGACTGTAAATTCTAGAAGAGCATTATATAGGTATATACAGATATATACATATATATAATCCACTGTTGTATTTGGGACTACAAACTGCATATACAGTATTGTTCCCAAGTCAAAGAGTGATACATATACAATGACATCATAAGAAAACTATAGACCAATAACCAATATCCTTCATGAATACAGATGGAAAAATCATTAACAAAATATTAGTGAATGGATTTGCAACATACAGAAGCAATTATATATCATTACCAAGAAGAGTCTATCCCAGAAATACAAAGCTTAACATCTAAAAATCAATTAGTATAATGTACTATATTAATAGAGTGATGGATAAAAACCATATTATCATCTTGAGGCAGAAAAAGCACTTGGTCAAAGTTAATAGCTATTTATCATAAAAACTCTCTACAAACTTTCTCAACCTGGTAAAGGGCATCTCTGAGAAACCTATAACTAACATTATATTCAGTGGTAAAAACTGAATTCTCCTCCCAATATAAAAAATAAGTATGTCCATTCTCATCACTTCTGCTCAAGATTGTACTGGTATTCTAGCAGTGCAATAAGGAATACAGATACTAGAAACATATAGATTAAAGGAAGAAGTAAAACTGTCTTTATTTGTGATGACATGATCTTGTATATAGAAGATCCTAAGGAATGTAAAAAATAAATACACCCAAACTACTAGAACTAATAATCTAGGTCAGAAATGTCAGACTATGCAAGATCAACATACAAATGTCAATTTTATTTCTATAATGAATAATTCAAAAATGAAATTAAGGAAACAGGTTCATTCACAATACTATCAAAAAGGTCAAAATGCTTAGGAATATATTTAACAAAAGAAGTATATGACTTGTACAGTGAAAACTATAAAGGATTGTTGAAAGAAATTAAAGACTTAAATAAATATATATTTTATTTCATGGGTTGGAAAGATTTAATATGTTAAGTTGGCAATTCCTTCTAAATTAATCTATTGATTTAATATAATCCTTCTCAAAATGCAGGCAGGATTTTTGTAGAAATTCACAAGCATATCCAAAAATGTATAGGGAAATGCAAAGGGTCTAAATAGCCAAAATCATTTTGAAAAAGAAGAAGAGTCTTATCAAAGGTAAAGCTTACCTTACCTGATTCAAGACTTACTTTAAGCTTCAGTAATCAAGACAATGTGGTATTAGCATAAGGACAGGCATAGATGGATGCAACCGAGAAGAGTCTGAAAATAAATTATACATATATGGTCAATATATTTTTGAAAAAGGTTTCAGGGTAATCCAATAGGATAAGAATTATCTTCTTAACAAATGGTGCTGGAAAAACTGCATATCCAAAAAAAAAATACCCTACCCCTTTCCTCATATCAAAAAACCTACTTAAGACAGATTGTAGACGTAAATATAAGAACAAAAACTATAAATTTTCTAGAAGTAAAAAAAGGTAAAAGTCTGTAATCTTGGGTTAAGCTAAATTTTACTGGATATGAGACCAAAAGCATACTCCCTAAAATAAAAAGTTGATAAATTGGAGTTCAACAAAAAAGAAAATGTCTGTTCTTCAAAGGACAACATTAAGAAGGTGAACTGACAAGACACAGACTGGGAGAAAACACATGTAAAACATACACCTGATAAAGGACTTGCATCCAAAATACATCAAAAAACTTCTGTAACTTAAAAATAAGAAGATGGCCCAATAGATGCTGAAGAGAAATTAGTATTCAATCACCCCTATTATTTGAATGGTCAGTGTCAGAAACCAAGTAATGGGAAGGGATTCATTTGTACAGAGTAGACCATTTGATTCTACTGTGACCAAGAGTACTATATACTCAAGCAGGATAGTCCAGTGGTTTACTTAGGTTTGTTTTAATTCCCACTGGTGCTACTATTTATAGTGGTAATGGTCTTTAAACCAAAGTAAATGGAGAAAAATGCATTACGTGAAGTTATACACACTAAAAGGAGAGAAAGTGCTTGCATGAAATATAAAATGAGACACACGATAGGACAAATTGAAGAAGGTTAAAAAAGTAAGGTATCCTGTCTTGCATCTGTATGTTTCAACAAGGCAAAGGTTGTTCGATATTAAAGAAAAGATCATAAAGGCTACTGAGTCTGAAGTAGATGCTACCATATTATGTGATGTCTCTCAACCACTGATTGAGACATTGGATGTAATAGACAGACAGGTGCAATCAAGAAAGTTCCTGAGCCTTCTCATTTCTTAGAATATTTGCTAAGTCTTCAAAGACCCAGAAGTCATCAAAGAGAAAGCAACTTAAGGGAAGGGTTTGGAGACCAGTGTATAAAGAACTGCACTTCAAGGAAAGTTGCAGAAGATTCTGAGAATGAGAATGAGAGAAGAACCCTGGATACAAACTACTTTCATAGCCTTATACCACATGAAGAGATGTCATCTGCCTACATTAACTCTGGAGAACTTATGAGGCCCATTGTCAAAGGAGGCAGTTCTACTTAGAGATGAGTCTAGTCTGGAAGTGAATGGCTTCTAGCACTCCAGTTACACAGGAGAGAAAGACAACCTCTTCCAGGATTTACCCAATCTGCAAACATCTAAATATTCCCTGCACATTTTTTTGTCATATCCATATAGTCCTAGGCATGATTTCTTAATTGATCCAATTTTTCAAACTTTAATATATTTATTTAAAATGGAAAAAACCCATATAATATCACAAATGGAATTCCAGGAAAGTTGCTTTAAAAAGAAGGCAACCATTAATATAAATTAAATCAAAATCATTTTTATTAAGTTCTTAATTAAGTATGTAGTTTGTGAAGGTTCTGGAGAGGTATTGAAAATATAAAACTACATGATGAGCTTTTCATTATGAGTACTGAGAAGAGATGAAAGAAAATCAAAAGGGGCAACATCCACACATCAGGTGGCATCATCTCTTACATAACTGGTTGTATGATGCAAGACTTGTATAGGTTAGACAGGTTGCTTTCAGTATTTTGAACAAGCTTTATTCAATAATTAAAAAAAAAAAATCTTTACTGCTCTTTTAACTTCTATTCAGTGGGGATACTTTCTTCCAAAAATCATTTTAAGTAGCAAACACTCTCCCAAAACGTTGTCTTCTCTCTGCTACTAGAGCTGGCTATTGCCAAGGCCTGAGAGTCTTATTACATGGTTTTCTTTTTTTAAGCCAAAATCTACTTTCTGGTCTCTCTCCTGCCTAGGCCCTACCTCTGCTCTCTGAGTCATTCTGAATAAGTCTTATTGTTTTCCTACGAGACAGCTCCCCATATAATTAGACACAGAAATCTTTCATTCTTCATTTCTTAGGTCCAAATTGCCTATTTTCTCAACAGTTTCTCAAGATAAAATTTCCCCTTTAAAATTTTCAAACCTACAGAAAAGTTGAAAGATGAATAGAATAGGCACTTTTGTATCCTTCACCTAGATTTTATATATGTGTAATTCTTATTTTTCTGAGCCCTTTGAAAGTTGGACACATCATACTATTTCATGTTTTACTGTTTTAGCATGACAGTATGTATCTCCTAAGAACAAGGACATTTGTCTTCAAAGCCACAATGTCATTATCTCACTTGAGCAACAGCAATGTAATAAATTTAATGCTATGTCATATAGACACAATATGAAATTTCTCTCTTAGTCAAATAATGCCATTGCAATTGTTTTTTTTTTCCGATCCAGGATCTAATAAAGGATTTCACACTGCATTTGTTTTTGTGACTTTTTAGTCTTTCTAATCTAGAGTAGCACCTCCAACTTTGTGTGAATTTCATGATATTACTCAAGTTTTAATGCAGCCATCCTGATCAACCTTAATGTGACAGGTCAGAGCCCACAAGCTCTTCCAGATGTAGAGAGGAAAAACAATTTAGAGGAAAATTAGAGGAGAAATTAATCTTCTTTCCTATGAAAGCTGAGCAGCTGCAATAGACAGTTGGTTCCTGTGGTCAGACAACACCCCAGGCCTCTTTCTTATGAACACCTGTCAGCCTGGCTCTTCCCAACTTTGAAGTCACATAATGCCATTTTGAGCTTGCTTATAATGCTTTCCTAGTGTATTCTTCCCTGTTGGTTTGGATCACTCATGAAAAACAGTTGAGATCATTTTGAAGGTTGAGTCTCCCTTTCATTCATACCAGGCCATACGTAATAAGCACAGCTTCACAGCAGGAGAGAAGAGCTGGGCACAGGAGAAACTCACTTGGGCAGGACAAGCACAGGGCAGACTGACTGAATGTTGAGACAAATGCAGAGTTCTGGGTTGGCAAGTGAAGAATAGTGACTGAGCAAGAGTATACAAAGGAGAAAAGACAGTTTCTCCAACAAGTGTTGTTAGAAAAACTGGACAGCTACATCAAAGAGAATGAAACTGGATCATTGTCTTGTACCATACACACAAATAAACTTGAAATGAATTAAAGACCTAAATATAAGACCTGAAACCACAAAAGTCCTAGAACACATAGGCAAAAATCTCCTGAACATCAGCATTAGTAATTTTTTTCTGGGTATATCTCCCTGGGCAAGAGAAACAAAACCAAAATGAGTAAATTAACTAGTAAGCTTCTGCATAGCAAAGGAAACCATCAACAAAATGAAAAGTCAACCTATTGAATGGAAGAATATATTTACAAATGATATATTTAATAGGGGCCTAATACTCAAAATATATAAAGAACTCATACAACTCAATACCGAAAAAACAAATAATCAAATTAAAAAGTGGGCAGAGGACCTGAACAGACATTTTTTCAAAGATATACAGATGCCCAACAGATGCATGAAATACACACAACACTAATTATTAGGGAAATGCAAATAAAAATCACAGTATCATCCCATACCAGTAACAATGGCTAAAATAAAAAAAATAAGAAATAACAAGTGTTGTTGAAGATGTGGTGAAAAGGAAACCCTCATTCATTGTTGATGGGAATGTAAATTAGCACAGCCACTGTGGAAAGCAGTATGAAGGTTTCTCAAAAAACAAAAATAGAAATACCATATGACCCAGCAATTCTACTTCTGGGAATCTACTCAAAGAAAACAAAATCAAAAAGATATGCACACTCCTGTATTTACTGCAGCCTTATTTATAATAGCCAAGATAAGGAAGCAACCTAAGTGTCTACTGACAGATGAGTGTGGTACATATATACAAGGGAATATTACTCAGTCATATAAAGAGTGAAATCTTGCCATTTGTAGCAACATGGATGGACCTAGACGTTATTATGCTCAGTGAAATAAGCCAGGCAGGGAAAGGCAAATACAATATGAGTTCACTTACATGTAAGCTAAAAACAAAACAAAATAAACAAAACAGAAATAGACTCAAACATAGAGAATAGACTGCTGGAGGGGGTTACAGGATGGGTGAAATAGGTGAAAGTTCTAAAGAGGTACAAACTTCAAATTAAAAAGTATTTTGGTCATAGGGATGGAATATAGCCAAAAATATTGTAATATCTTTGTATGGTAACAAATGGTTACAACACTTATCATGGCAAGTGTTTAGAAGTATATATAATTGTCTAATGACTATATTGTACATCTGAAGCCAAATAATATTGTATATTAACTATATTTCAATAACAATTTTTTTTAAGTATACTGACCTTGGGTCCCAATAGTCTGTTTTATTTCAGGTAAAGGGCCAGCAATGGATGGGAGTGAGAAGACTCCAAGATGGTATGATGTCTTCAAAAGTGAACAGTGAACCTGGAAAGGAACTGATGTGGGACACTCAGAATCCAGGAAGCAGGCAGACAGCAGAAGGGAGATGTGTGCCTGGGTAAAGAGGCAAACCTTGTACCCAAGCAAAGGCTCAGGGGCAGCTTTCCTATCCCTAGAAAGGGAGCTGTATGAAGCAAAGCAAGGCTTCAGTGGAGAATTTATTTAACTAGGGGACTAGAACTGACTTGGAATGGAGATAGAACCAGTATGTAGAAAAGGACCATGGCCCACGACTATGACTTGATTCAGCAGTAAAGTATTGTATCTTGAGTCCTATATTCAAAAGACCATATCCAAAACCAAGAGTGGTTTCAAGGAGAGTGTGTGTCTATGCCACCATTGATCTTCTTCCTCAATTAAGTCAGCCTAATTCTCACTTTACCTTGTGGCTCGGAACCTGACCCCACAAAACACAAAATGAAACAAACAAAATCTTAAAAGTCCCTCAAACCCTTTTCATTAATATAATCTCTACTTTACCAGATGTTATCAGCCCATTGTGTTTTAACTTGGTATAAAAATTACTATACTTGCTATTCCAAGGGATTTCTCATGTTCCAATCTCTTCAGACAATTCTCATGTTTATCTTGGCTCCTGAGCTTCTGGTAGGTTGCTGTGGTTCTTCCTGTAATACTTTTTCCTTCCAACACCTGAAGCCTGTAGAGTCCCCTGTGACCAGCCAGAAATTCTCTATTCTCCTCCCCAATGCTACTTTTCTTGCATGGGTTGTAATATGAATCAGGAGAGGCTAGGTAGTGCTGCTATAACAAATGTCCCCCAAATCACAATGGCTAATACAAAGATTTACTTCTCATCACATTTCAAATTCACTACAAGTCAGTACACTTTGCAAATATTGCTGTTACCCTGGGACACAGGCTGATGGAACAGCCTCTTTCTGAAACATTGCCAGTCTTGTGGTTAAGAAAAGGAGAAATGGCAAACCACACACTAGGTCTAAAAGCAGCTGTCTGGAAACAATGCCACTTCTGCTCACACTTTACTGGTAGAGGAAATCTCATGGTCTGACCTGATATCAGTGGTATAGAGAAGTATAATCCTCCACTGGGATGCAAGAATTTATTCTATGTGTTGTTGCTGTCAAGATATGTGTTGATCTCTATCAGGGCTCTAGTGTCTAGCAGGATCTATGTGCTCTATCAGAATGTATGTGCCATTGCATAGGGACAAGAGGCTTCTGGGTCCTTGGCTGGACTGTTTCAGGTTCATGTTTGACATCCTAGTTCCTCCCTAAGATAGGTTTCCAGCATTTATCCTTCTCATCTCATCACAGAACCAATCCATCGTGGGTTCTGGGCCTGTCTTGGGACCAGGCTCTGGTTAGGATTGACAAACTAAGAACAAGTACGGGCTGCCTTCCCTGCCCCTCTTACTAACAAGCTGGATCCCAGGCCTTTCCTGAGCTTCCTTTCTGGTCCATACATTTCCTCCTAAAAGCTGTTTTTGTTCTATTTTATTATTATAATATAATATTTTTTCATCCTGGCCGACCATTTCATAACACATTGCCAGAAGTTTCAATTTGTCTTGTTTCTTTCTGAAGTCCTTTTTCTTATTCAATGCTTTAAAAAAAACCCTGTTCATTCTAGGTTTTAGCCTGTATGGCACTATTGTCATGGGTTTTGGTCATTTCTTAAATTTATTTATCTGTAACTCAAATTTCCTCCAGGGCTCTGAAGGCTATAATACAAATGAGATCATGTTTACAGTAATAACTCAAATTTGGTTGAATCATGTTGCCCACTTACTACCTATTTCTGGGTGGGCCAAGAATGAGGGCTGGGGTCAGGAGTCCTCTCACATTCTTCTGCCTAGGTTCCCACCTCATGAATATCCACTGTTGGTGGACCGAGCTTGACCTTTAGGTCATTTGCACTCTTTGGTTGCAAATCATAGAAACTAACTTCAGCTAACTTAATCAAGAAGGAGAGTTTACAATACAAATACTAAGCCATCTCTCAGAATATATGGAATATATCTGGCCCTCGAGAAAGTTCTATTAGACTGGAGAAAAGGAAATCTGTAAGAATTTTCCCTGTCTTTTTACTGCCCTTTTCTGGGCATCTCCTCTATCAGCTTGCCTTTGCAGACTGGATCTTTCTAACCCTGAGCCCACACTGGGAGCTCACACTGAGTCTTGAGTCCCAAATGCAATTTCTGTCTTAGAGGATGCCATTCTCAGTTTTGATCAGAAGTCCGGACCTGGATTTTAACTAAAAGTTGAGGATGAGGGTACTTGGAAAAAAAAAAAAAGAAGAGAGTCTAGAGGTGGTTGAGTTAGTGATTTACAGAGTCAGATGCAAATTGGGGGAGAAAGATTTTTCTGGAGTTTACTAGACCATCCATAACAAAGTACCACAGGTTGGGTGGCTTAAACAATAGAAATTTATTTTCTCATAGTTCTGGAGGCTAAAAATCCAAGAACAGAGTGTTGACAGGTTTGATTTCTGAGGCCACTCTCCCTGGGTTGCACACATTCTTGCTGTATCTTCATATGGTCTTTCCTCTGTGCCTCAGCAACCCTGGTGTTCTTCTGTATGTCCCATTCTCTTCTTACAGGAACACTAGTTGGTTTAGAGGAAGGCCCACCCTAATGGCCTCATGTTAACATAAGTAGCTTTTAAAAGGCCCCATCTCCAAATACAGTCACATTCTGAGGTACTGAGGCTTCAACATAAAAAATCTGGGGAGACAGTTCAGCCCTTAATATCTGTTGCTTAACAAGTCACCTCAAAAGTTAGTGGTGTAAAAATTTTTTTGCTATGCTCATAGATTCTATATGTCATAACATTGGGGCCCTCAGATGGAGTGACGCAAATGGCTGAGTGCCAGCAAATAGTTGGGCTAGGGAATTCACTTCTGAGATGGCTTCTTTACTCATATGTTTCCTGCTTGGGTTGAAACATCTAAAATATATGCCCAGATGGTTCTGTCAACCACAATCACATACAATCTCTCTTCGTGACTTGGGCTTCCTCACGGCATGGCAGCCTCAGGGAAGATGGACTTTTTACATCTTATTGGAGTTTCTTCCAATAGCAGAAGAGAAACATGTGTCTCAGGACTCCAAGAACGACCATTCCAGTGATTAAGGAACACATTGTCACATCAGCCTGTACTCTATTGACTAGGCAGTCACAAGCACAGATAAAATGTGTGCCAAAAAATCTGTGGCCATATTATAAAATTGCCACCACAGGCACATCCAAAGCATCTATAGCACGGTCTCTGTTCCCTGAAACCTCTGTGAGAAGACTGGTTCTCTCCCCAGACTGTTGGTTCTTAATGTTCTCTAAAGCTTGGCTGGGTTTTTGTCTGTTTAGTTCCTACCAGGAACAATGTGTCAGCAGCCACACTCAAGTTCTTTATTAGACATGCATTTTAAATTTGCTTTCTCAGTCTCATTCCTCTCTCAATTTGCTTGTGAGTATTTAGGACTATTAGGCTCTGGTGAGAAAACCACACTTTAAGTACCTTCTTCCAAAGCCATTATGTTCAGTTTAAAGGAATTACAGAGGTGTCACATTTTTTTCTGAGATACAATTGCCATAAAACATCAGCTTCAGGTGTACAACATGATTCAATATTTCTATGTTGTAATGATCACAATTATAAGTCTAGTTAACATCCATCACCATATATAGTTTTCTTTTTCTTGTGATGAGAACTTTTAAGATGTACTCTCTTAGCAACTTTCAAGTACACAATATAGTATTATTAACTATAGTCACCATGCTGAATGTTACATTCCCATGACTATGTACCTTTTGACCAACTTCACTCATTGTCCCTGGCTGCCCACCCCACCAATCTGTTTTCTGTTATCTATGAGGTTTGTTTTCAGATTTCATCTGTAAATGATAATAAAGTATCTTTCTGTGTCTGACTGATTTCACTTAGCATAATGCCTACAAAGTTCATCTACATTGTTGCAAATGGCAAAGCTTCCTTCTTCCTTTCTTATGGCTGAATAGTATTTCTTTATCCATTCATTTATTGATGGACACTTGGGTTGCTTCCATTTCTTGGCTGCTGTAAATAATGTTGCAGTGAACATGCAGATGCCTTTTTGAGTTAGTATTTCACACTCTTCAGATATACACCCAGAAGTGGAGTTGCTGGATCATACTGTATTCTATTTTTAAGCTTTTGAAAGGAACTTCCGTACTGTTTCCCATTGTGGCTGCACCAGTTTACATTCCCACCAACAGTGAACAAATGTTCCTTTTCCACCCCATCCTTGCCAACAGTTGTTGTCTTCTTAATAATAGCTATTCTAACAAGTGTGAGGTGATATCTCATTTCAATTTTTATTTGCATTTCCCCTGATAATTAGTAGAATACATTTTCATGTACCTGTTGGCCATGTGTATGTTTTCTTTGTAAAAAGTGTCTCTTTAGATACTCTGTCCATTTTTTTATCAAATTATTTTTTATGGTTTTGAGTTGTATGAGTTCTTTATATATTTTGGATATTAACCCCTTATCAGATACATGATTTGAAAATATTTTCTCCCATTTGGTAGGTTTCCTTTTCATCTTGTTGATGATTTCCTTTAATGTGCAGAAGCTTGGTAGTTTGATGTAGTCCCACTTGTTCATTTTTTGCTTTTTCCACCTTTACTTTTGGTATCAAATCCAAAAAAATCATCACCAGCACTGATGTCAAGCAGCTTACTATCTATGTTTTCTTCTAGGAGTTTTATAGCTTTATGGCTTATGTTCAAGTCTCTAGTCCAATTTGAGATAATTTTTGTGTATGGTGTACAAGACAGTGGTCTAGTTTCATTCCTTTGCATATGGTTGTTCAGTTTTCCCAATACCATTTGATGAAGAGACTGTCCTTTCCCCCTTGTATATTCTTGCCTCTTTTGCTGTAAGTTAATTGGTTTATGCATAGGTTTATTTCTGGGCTCTCTATTCTGTTCCATTGATCAATGTGTCTGTTTTTATGTTTATACCATATTGTTTTAT